ACAAGTGCACACACACACAGACTTAGAAATCCCAGCAGAATGCGGGAATCTCAGCAAGGCATCCATTCCATATGCAGAACTTAGGAAATCAGCAGTATTCTCAGTCTGTATTCTGACGGGTTATTACACAGTGAGACACACACACACACACACACACACACACACACACACACACACACACACACACACACACACACACACTCACACTCTCCTCTTATCCATCAGTCAAATGAATCCTGGGCAGACTGTCGGGGTTCAACCTCCTGATGAGTCGGTGAAAGTCCGATGAAACAGTCTGGCACAGTCATGCTTTTTTTTATTGTATAACGAATATGACAACACACTCACACGTGTGGTAGTGTATATTTCGATGTTCTAGCACAGATTAATGTTACTCCGTCCAATTGGTTCCCGCGTGGCGCTTGCTGATTGGATCCATGTGCCGTCTTACATCCACATTCCAGCTGCTAATGGATCCACCTGGCATCTGCTAATCGGATATGTGGTGCCTGTCAATCGGATCACCGTGACGCTTGTCAATCAGATCCACCACCATATGTGACTCAAAAGAAAAACAAAGAAACTCCACGACCGAAATGAGTGGATCGTCTGTCAGGGCAAGGGCAAATACAAAGCACACACACACATAGGAGAGTAGGTGCGCAGATAATCAAATGTTCAACAACCCCTGCAGAGCAGGATGTGTCGAATTGGAAATAGCCCCATCATGTACGTCTCATCCCATATGCCCCATCAGGAACGGATGGGACGTACATGATGGCACTATTTCCAATTAGTACTTCGTTCCACAACTCCCAAGTACTAGTTGTCATGCTTGGAATGCAAAGTGACTTACAATTAAAAAAAAAAAAAAAAAAAGGTAGAAAGAAAAAAATTATTCTCTCCATGACTGAAATGAGTGGATCGTCCGTAAACTCGAAGAACTTTCGACTCCCTCACTGCTGCCGCTGAGGTTTGAACCCTTAACCTTGATGCTGACTTACTGTAGCGGACCCAGCAGCTGTGGTGCTCTGCTAGTGACAGAGATGGAGATGGAGGAAGGAGGGGGAGCAAGATGGCACAACGCAGCTCCCCACGCAAGACTCCAACGCACGTACTCCAAAATGTG